ATTCCATGGTTATAATTCATTACATGTAAAAATGGTTATAATTTATTACTGTAATAATGGATTTATAATTTATTACATGTAATAAATTATAACATATAATATTAGTGTTTAAGCGTTTTTTATTTATATATATATATATATATATATATATATATATATATATATATATATATATACGTAAATCCTTGCAAACAGCAGGTCTCAAATAATTCTCTTTTTTTTTTTAATTATTTCGCTCCAATCAAGATGATAATGTCATTAAGCTGCAAGTGGTTACTGAGACTGAAAGAGAATGAGAAGACTTTAATGAGGAGAAAGAGCAAGAAAAACAGGTTTCAGGAAGACAGGAGATGGCCACTGTCGTTGCATTTAAATTTTTGAAGATTGTAGTTGTCCGGGAAGCAAGAAATCGAAAGAGAAACGTGTGTGATAAGAAAGTATTAGAAGAAAACTTATCTCTAGCAATTTCAAGAGTCAAACGATGAGACCTACTTGCCAATCTAGTATAGCGTTTAATTTAATGAAGTTGTGGTACCAAGGATGAGAGCTTATTAGAACAATTGACATGAAAATATTCATAGAAAAGTCAGAGGGAAGCCACGTTGCGGCGGTGGGAAAGATACTGAAGACGAGATGCCAGGTCAGGACCGATAACATTACAAACCGTCTCTTTAGATTATGTCAAGAATCTTGAGATATATAACAGGAGGACCAGACCAATTATGGTAGCAATATTCAATGCACGAACGAATGGGAGATTTATAAATGTGTAAGATGGATTCTGGGGTGAAAAATTGTCTAGCAACTTTCCTATCAGCAGACCCCGGAGCAATATCATCGCCCCACGTCATGTCAGTGGTAAAACGTGGGCCGAAGAAAGCGCAAAAAAGTTTCTCACCAGATTAACAGTTTTTTTCCGGGGGGGGGGAGGCCTCAAAATAGAGAAGCCATTCCTTGCCCCAGTTAACAATTGATTAGAGATCATTTTTGAGAGCAGATGCCAGTTTTACTTTGTCAGGCCTATTGGACTTGAAACAGGAGTAAATAGTTGTGTTATCAGCATCAGAAAATGTTAGAAAAAACCGAGCCGACTGTTATTTTAAAATCTTCAGCAGTGGATCGCGTATATGAATCCCATTTTTGGTTTGGGGTCAACTTGAAACTCAATAGACCTTCGGAGCCTGGAAAATCATTGAGAGCTTAACCGTCTGTCGTGACTGGACAAAATTGGGAGTCTTAACATTGGTGATGAGACAACGCTAACTTGATTATAGAGATTGTGAAAGTTACAATCAAGCTATCTCCATTTTGTTGTTAGGGGAGAAAGCGGTCGCAAGACCTTTTCAGCACCCACTCGTAAACAATTTAAACAAAAGCGAAAACAAATCGTAACAAATACTTAAGCGAAAAGAAATAAATTAAAAACAAAAATTCATTATTAAATATAAAAATGATAAAAAAAAAAACAAAGAAACAAGAGACGAAACCAAAATGTCCGAAGTGTGTGGTGTTAAACATGGCGACAGTATCATTTTGTAGTGTATGGCTAATTAAAAGCGGTCACCGCTGTTACGGAATGACTGGCATTATTTCCAGTTGGTCAGCTCGACAAGTGAAGAGCTAATCTAATAAATGATAAGAGTTCAGGAAATGGAATGAAGTTGAGGACATGGTAGGAACAAAAATAAAGGAATAAAAGTTGGAGGGAAAAGAAACATGGACGATGTCCTTTTTTTTTACTGTATTACATATCAGAGATAATTGTCTTAAGGCTATTTTTTTTCTTGACGGTTTTTTAAATGAGTGATGACGCATAAAAAAACAAGCGGTTGCAAGTGCTTGTCTTTTCCTAATTAATGAACACAAAAATAAGAATACTGACACTGTATACTCGTATATAAGTCGATTTATTTATATACTAATGTTCACCCACTACAAGGCCCAACAGCCACTCA